ATGAAAAAGGTTATTTTCTGGAGGAAAAGTGGAAATAGAACATCAGTTGAAATAACATTTATATATTCTTTTCAGAAATATACAATGACAATAAAATGTTCAATTTCCCTTGCAGTGAAGTTTGTTTTATAAATTAATTAAGTGTTCTTAGTGCGATGGAAATGTGTGACCAGATTTATTTTATGACGGTGAGGTTAATGTGTTTGTGAGTTCATAGGATTACTAGGCAGTTGCTGTGCATGGACAAGGCTTTAGTTGGCAGCTGTTGGCTGTTGCCCTTTCATTGTGTGTGTGCACATATGTGTAGCTCAAACTGACCTACGAAACTGTTGTAAGCCTTCAGAAACAGTAGGCTTCTATTTTTATATCCATAAGGGTTACCAAAATCTAATTTCACATAGAAGTGTAAACTTTTTGAATACAAGGTTTTCATTGATTAGAAATTGATTTCACACCGGTTCATGAAAATCTTTTTCTCAAATTTGCAGGAGTAGTGGTCGGAGTTATTGTTATTTTCTAAATGGTCCCAAAATAACACGTGTTAGGTCTACAACTTCGTCCACCAGTATTTTGGCAGTATTTATCTTTGCAATGATTGTTTATCCAACAAATCTTCTGATAGGATTTTACTGGTTAAAAAATGTATATAGGATTTAATTCCTATAAGCTATAGCATTGCCAAGTTGCAAAATTAAGCTCTTTTCTTGAGGTACAAATGTTTCACTTGATATGTGTTGTGACCTTGTTAGGACCAGAAATAAAGACACAAAGAAAGGAATTGAGTTAAACAAATATATTAACAGAGCTGACTGCTGGAAACTTCCCTCTCCAAAAGGCAGTACCTGCTCCTATTTATAGCTGGGAGAGTCCATGCGTGTGTGGGTAAATTACCATAACAATATGTTACTTTAACTTTGGAAGCAAAAACACTATTTGTTCACACAGCCTTTCTCACTCAAACAGAGAAATTGCTAAACAATTCTTGTCTTCTACAAGAGCAGATTTTTTGTTTCATTTTCACTTTATAATAAACCATAAAATTGGTTAACTTCTTCTATGTGTCATGTCCCTTCAAGACATGGGGGATAATAGCTCTGCACAACTGTATGTCCATTGTACAAGATTAAGTCTTTTTATAATCACTCATAATCCCTGTTCTACCAAGCATGTTAGGTTATTCACTGCTATCCTTTGCCCCACTTGCTTTCAATATATTCTGTGAGTGTCATATTTTCCACGCCCCCTTTCTTCATTATATGCCCTATAAATTTCAATTGCTTCTTTCTGTTTCAAATATGTGTCCTTTTTGTTCCTATTTTCCTTAAAACTTTACCATAATCACATGCTCAATTCATGGTATTCAGATTACCCTTTCTGTAGAACTGCATCCCTGTTGCCTTGAGTCTCTTCTTCATCTATAAGAAGATTGTCCAGCACTCACAACCATAGAGGAGGGCTGATATTATATAACAGTCCAGTACTCTTTTCTTTGTAATGAAAGTTTTCTGTTTTTTAATACTTTGCTTAGCTTTTAGATGGCATCTTTCACAATCCCAATGCACCTTCAGATTTCAGTGTCACACTTTGTGTTCTCTGTTAAAACACTTCCCAGATATATAAATTATTGTACATGTTTTATTTTGATATCTCCAATTTGTAATTTATATATTAGTCTGTTTCTTTTGCTGACAATAATGTTTTTAATCTTTTTGCAATTGACGTTTAACCCTTTCTTTTCACTTTCCTTCACTACCTTCTGTAGGAGTTGCTTTGGTTTCCTTTAAGTGTAGGCAGAAATACCTTGTAATGGAAAGGGGTTAGATTTTTTTTTTCTTAAGCGTTTCACCCCAAGCAAGGCGGAAAGCCACTAGGACGCAAGGGGTTACAGAAAATTTGGAGCAAGATCAGATAGGAGTGATAGAAGAAAGGATGAGAAGAGTAGTGGATAGATCAAGGCAACTGGAGATACAGAGGCCAGTGAGAGAGAGAGAAAGGAAACCCCTTCCTAAACAAGAAACAAGGCGTTTGAAACTCATGTCCAAGAGAATGGGAGGAGTGTTGACCGGGCGGTAGGAAAGCCTACCTACTCCTATTACATATAACACATACAACAACAAAAAAAACAGAGGTAACGATGAGAGGGGGGGTAATTTGAAAAGAGTCCTTATTGACTATCATTTACCCTTTCGCAACATTAAGTTTTAAGTTTTTAACTATAAGTCACATTGTCTATTCTAAAAAGAAATTGAAGAAAATAAGGTTACCGGATTTATTGCCATGTCATAATAAATGCCCCAACATACGTGGCAACAAAAATGTTAGTCCGCTTTCATCCTCATGATAACAAGTGAATGTACTTTTTACCTTAAGTCCAAGCATCGACCTGGTTTGGGGATCAACGGCCAATGCACCGCCCTCACCAAATAGTGGGCTTGGGAGGCATGCTTTCAATAAAAATTAAGAACAACAGGTGGCGAAAACAATTCCAAGTTCAGAAATTTTATCCAGCAAGAATAGTCGGCCACTAAATGAGAATACTGACGAGACACTTTCACATCTAGCCAAAGACATTCAATTTTCGCTTTTTTTCTGATTTTTCTTTCAAAACGGGACCATCAGATAGGTTAGAATGATTAGGACAAAATGTGTTACTATGGGCAAACACACTGATGAGTAGGGGGAGAAAGAAAAAAAATTACAATAAAATAAAATTTAAACATTGAAAAAAAAAATAGAAAAATAAAGAATTAAAGAAAAAAAAAAAGATTAAAATGAGTTTTCGGTAGAGCGAAATTATACTCACACAAGGGCGAGTGTTTGTCCGCTTTCATCCTTGATAACAAGTGAAATTACGGTTAGAGTTTAAGAATATGTACTGTTGTATCACCCCTTGATGATAATTTGAGTCTTTTTTTGAATTACCGCCCCTGATGATAATTACACAAAATGTAATTTGAAAGAATCATAAAAAATTTCTTGGAAACTTTTCATATTAAAAAAGACATTTTTTCACTCCCACAAAATGTGACACTAAAGGCTGCTTTGAACTCTTAATATTTCATTTAATTTCTCATTTTCCTTTTTGTAAAATGTTCTATCAATATATTTGTCAATACTTCATTGTTCAAATTCTATGTTTTATTTTTCCTTTGAACTTACATAAGTCCACTAAATTGTTTACAGGTCAAACTAACCAAGAGCATAAAAATCTTGTCAAAGGTATTGAAGCCCACAACAGTACATTTGAACATTTGATTTCACTAGTTGCTGGCTGCATCTTGTGAAAATCTGTGACATAGAAGGAAATAGAGGAGAAATTAATTAAAAATATAGATAATATTAGTCATACTAGGAAAGGAATACAAAATTAGAAATGCTATAAACTACTTAAGTAAAATTATGATTTTAGGGAATGACTAGATAAATCAAGGCGCAAATCTGTTTAGAGAAACATTTATGATAACTAAGAGGATGTAGATACAATTTGAGTAAAATCCTGATAACGTGTTATGTCATTCATCTTGTTTTTCTTCCATCAACAGAATAGTATAGGAAATTTTGGGGGGCTTTTTTTACAATAAAATTACACATTTTCTTTGGTAAAACAGAAACACCATTTACCAAAAATCTACTCTAAATCGTAAAATAAAAAATGCAATAAAACTATGACATTATTTAATTAGAAAAGCTTCAAATTGTTTTGATAAATAAAATTTATTAAAGACACTATTGTCTTAAGAAAAAGAAATTTTCAATGAATTTTGACAAGAATTGTTTTCATTTTTTTATTTTAATTAGAATAATTTACTAAGTTTTAAATCTTTTAAAATTCTGTATTAATTTCAGCCTTTTGGATTATATTATTATTAAGTAAAAACTATATTTACTAATCATAAATTGAAAAGCTTAGAACAATTCATCAAACACCAATATTTTTCATTGAATTTTGAATTTTTCTTTGTATATGAATAATTGTAGCAATTTTTGTATATACAGATGTTCATACCCTACATTATCAGTAATTAAAAGCAATAACTATAGTAAATTTAAACCGAAGTATCTAAAATTCAATAAAACATTAGATTACAGAGAATATTTTCCTAAATTTTTAAGATTACTGAGTGATTAAAAATTATATAAAAAATGGTCCTCACATTATATTCTTCCATTAGTTTTTACAGATAAAGCTCCCCCACCTCCGTAGAAAAACATTAGATAAACATCCATCTGTTAACAAATTGTCAACATCTTAAATAAACAGCTACCACTGTGTTAAAAAAATGCATTTCTGCAATATTTTAAACTTGAAGTAAATAACATTTGTTTCAAATCAGATGAATTATACTTTAAATTAGCTAATATTCCTTAAATAAAATTTCAGAAAAGTATATTTTATGTATGGAGGATTTTTTAATAAAGAGAATTACAAACTAAAAATGGCACTTTAATCACATTTTTAGCAAAAACAAACTCTTTCCAGTCAATTTAAATTAGTTTTGAAATGGAGCAAAGTCTTTTATTTGCTTATTGTAATATTAAATTTCATCTAACTTAAAATTAAAACTAAAATAAAAGCTTTAATTTTTTTATTTTTCATTTAAAAAATTTATTTTAAACCTTAGGTATTGCAAATCTGTGGAGGTACCTGCACAGTGATTGGTCAGTCTAAAGACAATTGCATATATATATATATATATATATATATATATATATATATATATATATATATATATATTTAAAACATTTTATGTTTATACATGAAATTGTTGAACTTTGTCCATTTCAAAATAATATATACATATATATATATGTAGATATGAAAATCTATATATCTTATATATATTTTTATCTATATTCTATCTGTCCATCTATCTATTTCAAGTAAAAATGTTAGAAGACCTAGTTTACCCCACTGTAGAACAGAAAAGTAAGCATGGCCTCTGTATTCTGCTGATAAGCAGAATCAAGCAGCTTATTTTCTGTGGGTTAGGCTTGTCTTACTAACATAGATAGATAGATAGATAGATAGATAGATAGATAGATAACAGACTGAAAAGAAATATCACCAGATACTACAGAGAGATCTGAATTGACAAGAGGACAGATTTGCGATGCTGGATAAGATTTAGGAGAGGAGGTAAAGAACAAATCAGTTAAAAAAGAAGTGAGGGAGGGACAAAATTAATTACAGCATGGAAACATCAAAGGCTGATCCAGTCAAGGTAAAAAGAGGAAAAAACAAACTGGAGAGGATGAAAATCAAGACTGACCTCATTCACGCAAACCAGACTCACAACTTTCACCTACCTTTCATTGAAATCTGCTGAAAGCAGATGCTTTCTATCAGTTTTGATCTTTATCCTGAGCTGATGCCCAAAGAATCCAAGCAGATCCTGATGAGAATAACATTCATATCGTAAGATTCTCTCCATCCACGTCATTCGCACCACCATCCTTGCCATGGCTAGCAGCATTAAAAACACCATCCACTTAACCCCAGAATAGAGGAGTGGCAAATTATCGTATGCATATGCGAGATTGATGGACATGTTTAGGATTGATACGAGTCATCAACTCAACAACATAATCACAGAACAAGTGCACCTAAGAACAATGGTAAAAGGCATGTGCAGCTGTTTCTTTTTGTTATAGTGGAACAACCTATCACACCCCAACAGTGATTGGTCAGTCTAAAGAGACGTGAATGAGGAGAAAATAAAAGACATGACGAAGTATTGTAGTAGGGTTATTATTCAGAACTCTTACTCATTGTATTTTCTGTACAATAAAACCCATGTTATTTGTTTTACCTAATTCCTGTCTTTAGCGTAATCTTTCCACTCGGAATTACCTAGTTGCTTATATTGTATTATCTACGATATAACAGTTTTAAACCAAGGACACACTGATGACAATTGGGCATATAATATATATAATAGGAGTATATATAATAGGAGTAGATAGGTTTGCCTATTGCCCAGCGAGTACTCCTTCCATATTTATTGAACAAGAGTAGAGGCTTATCTCTTGTTTTCTGTTTAAGCATCTCACATCACAGGACCTTCTTTCAGACAAGCAATATGGCTTCAGCTTCTCTAGGTCAACTGCTGATATACTAATGATTATTGCTGAAAGAATCTGTAACGGTTACTTTTAAGAAAATAAAGGAAATGGCCAATCCAGAATCTCTTTCACATCATTGTTGTAACCAGCATGTAACGAGTCCTCTGATTGGTCAATAGATGAGCCCATGACAGCCCTGCCTCATTTCCACTTTGGCAGACAATTTAGAAAGTTCTTCTTGACTATTGACCCTGGAGTAATAAAAATGTATCAAAATTGCTTTCTGACCAACAACAATGCAAATGGTACATAAAAATATTCATGTACCATTTGAATGGTAATTATATATATATATATATATATATATATATATATATATATATATATATATATATATATATTTGATATTTCATGTTATTTTAATTTCAGTTGTTTCTCTAGTTGTGGCCCGTTATTAGAAGTGGACCAACATTATGTATAATTGTAACAGTGTCCACAACAAGTCTATCAAGCTTTAAATAAGATGTTGCTTTGGACAACCCAAAAGCGTCTGACAGGGCTTGGCATACCAGTCTTTTGAAAAGGTATTTCGGGACAGATTTTTGAACTGATTTAGTCTTTCTTTCATGAATTGTTTTGAATGGCTACTCTTCTAGCTCTTTTTGCATTAATGCAGTTGTTCCCCAGGGTTCTATCCTTGTTTCTAATTTTCTGTTATGGTCCGGTTCCTTGTACCATGGTGATAGTCCAAGGTAGAACCAAATAAAGAAGAACTCAAACACGGATATGGAATAACACAGATATATTACAAACAGGAATATATACAGAGAAGTAGAAAGTGTTAGTACGAACAATCAGGTTTTAGTAGTAATTGTCTCGAATACCACTATTCTGTTTTTGTAGTAGTTGTCTGAACGCGACTCTGTTTCAGACTGCCTGACTGACTGACAGACTCTGACTCACTCACTCACTCACTTCAGACTGACTGACTGACAGACTCCTTGATGGAGTATTTCTGACGGATGGAATGTCCATTATGTTATTATATTTAAGGTCCCATAACACAAGGGCATCATGTGGCAGAGGTTTTAACATGTCAGAAGCCCTATAACAAGTTATCCTATATGTGGGCCTTCTAAAGTTCTGATGCAATCAACTAAAAATTTCATTTTGATTAAAAATACCATGCATAGGGTTCAATTGATACATTAAAATATTATTTGGCATACTATGGATAAAATAAATCCCAGTAAAAAAAGATAAACAAAAATGAGTTCAACAAATGAGCCAATCAACATCATCCAACAGTCAAGAACTCCCTGAAAAATCTCATTTAATAGTATTTAATAATAGTATGGAATAGTAAAATTGAGGCAGGAAGAAAAAATAATGATTACTTTTATTTAAAGACTTTTTTCTTTCCATTCTCATCTCCATATTTTGATGGGGAATATTTAGTAAGTCTGATTGGTTTGATAAATATAAAAATAATAGTGCAATGGAAAAAATTGTCTAACTTATGCAAAAAATGAATATAACATTGATATCACAGTGTAATAAGATATAATTACCAAAATTCATCTAAAGAAAAAATTTTTTTAAATACTAAAGTATAAATTTATTCAATAAAATCACCATTACACCTTTTCAGACTGATGTTTTTCTGAAAGACAAATATTGAATCAACTGCAACTCTTTTGGATGGTCACTTTGTTTCACTGTGTGAATGCTGCCATAATCCTTGCCTTCTAGTTCATATTTTAAGTTTACCAGGAGTTTTGTTGAATATTCTCACATCTAGTCTGCACTCCACACATAATCAAGAGTGTTGCAGTTTGATGAAATCCAAAGAAGAATCTGCAATGTTATTGGTCAGGAATTGTCATGACAGCCATGATTGAGTTCTGAATTGTATGGCATGGTTCAGAGTCCTTTGCTTTAAATAGGGTTTTCACAGCACTTGTTCTTCAAGGAACTTTATGTATGCCTCCATCTTGAATTTATGGGAAGATGAATGGATTGGTAATGTTACAATGACTAGTGATCATGTCAAACACCATTATGTTGAATGGATATATCATCCAACTCTTTTTGAATCCTCTGTACTGTCTTCAGATTGACACCCAAACACTTTGAAGTGTTTGTTGGACTTTCTGGCATGAATGCTAAGCAGTACAGCAAGTCTTTTCAAAATTTCTGGTGGAATGAATTCATCATTGGGCTCTTTTTTCACAAACAGTGTATTTTGATTGTTATACCTGCAGTTGACAAAATCAAAAACAATAAATCTTATTTAAAAAATATAAATGGCGACAATTTACCCATCGCATCTTGTATATGAACAAAAAAAAACTGGAAAATTAGGCACTTTCCTTTAAAACACTTATCTCTCTCTTATATATATATATATATATATATATATATATATATATATATATATATATATAATATAGATGGAAACCCTGTCGTTTTCAAAATAAGAAGGATCTGAAAACTTAATAAAATTCGCTGGAAGTTTTTGGTTCATAGTCTTCTAATTTGTGACTGAAAACCTTAAATCATTTCCATTATATAAAAAAATATAGAAAAGATAGGAATAACAAAATAAAATAATTTTAGCCAATCAAAACATATAAAAAAGACTTTTGATGTTAGATCAAAACCAAGGTTTATGCAAATAATCTGGAATCCTGGTTAAAAGAATATAAGCTCACAGCTCTGAGTTCAGAAGGAATGGCAAGAGAAACCTTCAGAACTTGGGGATGCAACTGCCAGAGGACGTCATAAATTAGTTAAGAGGCCATCTGTTAATATTTCTGTTCTTTTTTAGGGTCAGAAAAAAATCAGTGCTGGATCAGATCTATTTCTAAAGACACTCCTATAATGTCCTGACTTCTGAAACTGTAATACCAAAAACTACTATCAATATCAACCTTATAAATAAAGATTTTACCTACCACAAATAAAAAGGTCTAAATCAAATAAGTGAAAATATGTTATTTAATAACACCTTTTTTTTCTAGTTTGTTTATTTCCAAAGTTTCCAGTAAATAAATATTAGGAACCCTCTTGTACATAATACCATTTTTGTTTGAAATCTTAACAAATCTGATTTTTGCCATCCAGTAGCCTCCCTGTCATTTGCTCATAATCCTCAAGCGATTAAAAAACTTTATCAAAAATAAATATACTTTTCTGAAACTTTATTTGAGGAATTTTAGCTGTTTTAAAGTTCAATTAATCTTAATTTTAAAAAAATATTACTCTATGTTTAAAATATAGAAGAATTGCTTTTTTTTTAACATGGAATTTGTAGATTGGTTAAAGTGTTGACAATATAGATTATAGACTTTTTTTTTCTGAATGGTAATGGATTTTTAAAGTCATTAGTCCAAAATTTAATGTGTATGTCTTTTTAGAGAATTTTTATACCCAGTAATCTTTTTATTTATTAGGAAAATATTCTTTAATTTTTTTTTATTGAATTATGTAATTTGAAAAATTACTATAATTACGCTCTTATTTTCTGATGATGTCATGTATGGATGTCCATATTTAAAAAATTGGCATTCAAAACTTTTACAAACAAAATAAAATTTTTAAAATATTGGGGGCCAGTTCTTGTAAATAGATATTTTACTTGATGACAAATAAACTAAGCTCTACAAAGTAAAATAGAATTTTAAAATATTTAAAACTTTATAAATTATTATAATTAAAATTTTTAAAAAATCTAAAAATTGTTTAAAAATTCATTATTCATAGAAAATTTTTTCTTAAGACAAAACGTTCCATAATATATCTTATTCATATACAAAATTAAACGATTTCCTGATTAAATAAGGTCTTTTTTTTATGGCTTTCTTAATTTTAGGATTCATCATAGATTTTCAGTAACGGGGATTCTGTTTTACAAAAAAAGTTGACAATTTAAATTCACCAATGAGTTCTGCTTTTAACTAATATAAACATGAATATCAACAAAATTAAATTTCTCAAAAGGCTTTAAAATTATATAAGCATGGTGTAACAGATGCAAAAAAAAAAAAACAAGATTTTTAACCAAAACTTTGAATCGTTCTAAAGAGGATCAAAATATAATTGAATAATAAAAATCCTTTCATCTTTCTTACCAATAACATAAAGATTTTGACAATAAAATTTTGACTTGGATAAAGTTTGGGGCATTTTTTTCGATTTGGTATATTTTATTTTTTTTTACTGATTAAATAGATTGGTATTAAATAAAGTTGAAAAATATTTTTGTTGGATGTCCACCAGTCAAAGCGATAAACTATATCAGTCAATAAGGCCTCTGATCTGAGGCTTTGAATATAGGAAACCACCTCTTAATTGCTGGTATTACCAGGTCAACCGAGATCCAGGGTGGTAGACATCATTGTTAGGGTCCCAGCTATGACCAAATGATTAACCCCCAGGCTGAGGCGGAAAAACAAGATGAAAGGTAAAAATAGGTTTTAATACTAGCCGCCGCCCAAAAAAACATCACCAGCAATACACTTTGGGAAAAAATTCCCAGCAAGAAAAATCGAAAACATCATTAAATAACCCATTGACAAAGGCAATGTAAAAACAAACCATGGACAAATTTTGTTGGGAGTTGGTGCTTAGAAATTTAATAAAAACATTATATTTCAGATTTGAAAGGGAAAAAAAGGAACAATGAATTTTTTAAAAAAATTTATTTGTATGTTTTACTGTGATTTTGAGATATAATGACCCGGTGTTTAGAAAGAGATTTCTTATTAAATAAAGATTTGTTAAAAGAATCAAAATAATCAAGTTTAATGCCATGTCCATCGTATCTAAAAGATCTTGATTGGACATTAATTTTGTTAATTTTCTTGTCAATATCAAGGATAGATATTTGATTTTTTAGAGACTTTAATTTATTTTTATATCATTTTTGTGTTGATAGTACAATGTTACAATTAGACAAAGTTTCTTTTTAAGAAATCTTGTTTCAGAGACAAACAACGGAATGGGATTATCTTCACAGGATGCTGCATTCTTGGGTCTCTGCCATTATCTAACCAGCAATGGCGAATATTTGTATACACTGTTTGAGGATTATTCGGAATATTGTCCTCATCTTTGTTCTATATTTAAGATACGTTTTTGACAGTGTTATACTATGGCCTTCTTCAGGAAGTTGGAATGTTGAAGTGAACCCTTTGTAAATCAATAAGATGTTTAATGGAGTTCTCGATGGAGAAATAGAGTAACAACACACCCTATTCTTGGATGCCATCCAATATCTCTGTGGAAAAAAATATCTGTAGGAAACAAGTCGACATTCAAGGTAAGACTTCAAAGAACAACTCCCAAAGCTGTAATACAGGGTAAAGGGATGGATCGTCCAGGTGTGGCTTGACCACATATGGAGAGAAAAGGGAGATCACCACCTCTGTGGGATCAGGTTGAAATCATAGACAAAGAACATCATTGGAAAATTCGTAAACTTAAGGAATCAGCACATATGCTAGGCCCCAAAATCTCCTGAGCCGATCAAGCATAGAAATAAATACAATATGGGAACCAGTGGTAAGAAGTGCCAGAGAAAATTTATAAGTCCCAGAAATTCATACACAGATGTCCCCAAGTTAGATCCAGTGACAGGACCCAAAAGAGTGTGAGTTCAATACCTGGTGGAGAACTTTGAGAGTGGAATTAACAGGAGATAACTGACATCCATTAGACATGGCACGTGGAACTAGAACAGTCTACCCCAAGCAAGCGAAATAAAGGGTTCAGTTTGACATTCCAACCACCTGAAGAAGGCCGGAGCGTACACCGGCCGAAACGCTGTGATAAATATAGCAACAAAGATGAGGACGATAGTCCGAACAATGTAAATATTGTAGATAATACCTCATCTCAGAAATACAGACAGATACAAAAAATAACGTTTTCATGATTATATATATATATATATATATATATATATATATAGAGAGAGAGAGAGAGAGAGAGAGAGACCTTTTATAGATAGATAGATAGATAGATAGATAGATAGATAGATATAGACCTCTGTTAAAATTTGATTTAAATAATATAACTAAGATCTCAATTCTGTCGGATCACGGAGACATCATCTCAAATCTGTGCAAAAATATGATCACAAAAATGTAAAAATTCAAATTTCCACATTACCATTTATTGACCAATCAGCGAGATTGTTTGGGATGCAGCTCGAAAGTTTTGAAAAATCCTAACTGCTCAAAAATTTATTGAGTGCTAACGTTCCTTTTGCAAAATTAATACGGGATTTAAAAGTTTTATCAGAAACCACTTTGCACGGTTAATATTGCGAAAAACAAAGCGACAAATACACAAAACACAACATATGATTCGAACTTAGTTGTCATGTTGTATTTGCTCTGATATTTTGCTGATTGCCTGACAAATACTTCTGTTGGTGCATTTAAGCTATGTACACATAACTAGATTTATAGTATAGATTTTGGTTTTTTGCGTGACAATCTCACACATACGTTTCTCTCTGTACTAACACAATTCATTTTTTTTCTTTTGTGTTGTAAAAAATTTCCGTGTGAACTTTGCATGCGTTTATTTCTTAAACGCAATGCTAGGAACAAACTGAACGAAGAACTTCATAATGTTATTTTTCAGCTTAAAAAAATAAACTTTATTTTACACTCAATATTAAAATTATTTAAAGCTGTGTTTGAAGATTATTTCTTTTCTTCACTTTCTGCACACTCTGCTCCTCTGCAAACGTGGTGACAATCTGACTTGTCGAACACATCCACAAAAATGGTGACCGGCCGACTTTTCAAACACGTCCACAAATTTCGAAATTCTTTAAGAATTCACATTTCAAACCAGACCAAACATCTACAGAACTACAGTATTTATCATGACATCGGGATCTGAAAATATCTTTATGCACTTGACACCCTTCAACTCAAACCAACCAAGCTGCTTTCCCTGCTAGACGAATAACGTCGCAAAATTTAATGTATTCATATGCAGTTGGATCTCTGCCAGCAGAAATAGCTGAAGAGATTGATGGTCTGCTAAAAAATCCACCAGCATATAAACCACTCGAGTGTTTAAAAGAGTCCATTCTTCGAAGGGTCGGTAACGCCAAAGTTAAAGATCTCTACACTAACATGTCCCTCGGAGATAAAACAATATCTCAACTTCTTCGATACATGAAAAGTTTCCTTGGTAATAAACTAATGGACGAAGGCATCATGCGTCAATTATGGTTTGAAAAACTACCCACAAATGATGACGCACATATTTATACCATTTTTCTGTAGAAAAAAACATTGTTCGATTTAGCTGAGCTCGCAGACAAAATCGCAGACAATTACGACATAGACCACACAGTGTCCGCCATTCAATCGGAATCAAAAAAAGATTACCCCAAGGAATTAGAATAAAGACTTTCGAAATTATGTTGGAAATTTGATTCTCTGATGAATGATCGCCGATCCCAATCAGATTATTGTCAGCGACATAGAAGAAAACATAGCAAAACTAGATCACCCCATCTGTTGAAACACGTGTTTTATCACTACAAATTCAGTGAAAAACACGTATGCATTCCACCTTGTTCGTTTGTGCCAAATAAAATATTTAAACGATTCAACTTGTAAGACGCTAATGACTGCAGAATCGCCACATTCGGAACAATTTATTTGAATTTAAATCTGGGAATGAGACGGGATTTTCCATGGGAATTTATCCTTGCAGATGTTAAAACACTCATCATCGGTGCAGATTTTCTTGTACATTTCAATATTTCGATTAATATGAATAATCGTTACCTGATCGACAACAGCAACAGTTTAAGTGTTTCTGCGACTGTTGCAGATACTAAAACAACAGGTATCCGTTCCGCTACAGCAGCTGACTCCATCTATTCAAAAAATAAATATAGTCCAGAATAATCAAGCGATAACTGGAGACCATGAGATGATTACAGAGCATTAAATGCATCTACCGTCACGGATAAATATCCTATCACAAACACTTCTTCATCTTTATCTGACGCAACAATTTTTTACGAATTGATTTAATTCGTGCCTATCATCAAATTCCTGTAGCAGAAGATATACCTAAAACTGCTATCTGTATACCTTTCGGCATTTGTCCGTATTTCTTTCGAATTATGAAACGCAACCCAGGCTTTTCAAAGATTTATGGACGGAGTTCTACGTGGTCTGCGCTTCGTTTTTGCATATATAGACAATGTCTGAGTTGCAAATAATTCTCCCGAGGAGCATACGGCAACATATTTAGGAAATATTTCGTTTCGACTATTATGGTTTAAAGATAAACGTTTCAAAATGTATTTTCGGTGTTCCTAGATTTTTTGTGACATCGCATTAATGCAACTGTTATAATACTTTGCTTTCTGAAATAAATGCAATCAAAGATTTGCATGTGCCTAGTTCACTAAGAGAATTAAGAAGGTTCATTGGCGTCGTTAATTATTGAGAAGTTTTATTCCCAAGTGTTCTCATCTTTTTTCTGTATTAACAGTTATTTTCAAGTCAAAGACTAAAAATATCACTTTTTCTGAAGACTAAAAGCGTTTAACTCAACCAAACAAGCAATTGCAAACATAGTAAGCTGAGTTACATCGACAGTGACCCATCTACAAAATTATTTTTATCAACAGATGCGTCTGATTCTGACGTTGGTGCTGTTCTTCAACAATCAACAAGAAAAGCTATTTTATTTTTCTCAGCAAAGTTACAAGATTCTCAAAAGAAATACAGTACATTGGGTCGTGAACTTTTGGCTGTCTATCCCTCAATCAGACATTTTCGTCATCTGTTAGAAGGTAGAGGTTTCATCATATTCATCGATCATAAACCTTTGACTTTTTCATTTATTACAAAAAGCGATAAATATTCTCCTAGAGAAATACGTCATTTAGACTATATTTCACAATTTTCCACTAACATTCGTCACACTTCTGGAAAAGGGAACATTCTTGCTGACGCACTTTCACGTACGTCAACTATTCAAAGAAATGGAAACTAAATTTCGATTACATTTCGCAAGGACAACTTAAGAAGACAGCAATTAAACAAATTTCTGAAAATACTTCAGTTTTATTGACATAATTCCCTATTCCTTTTAGCGTTAAGAAAATTTACTGCAATAACATCAGAAACTATCCTTGTCCCATCATACCGCAAAAGAATTTTCCAGCATTTTCAAAACATTTCACATCCTAGAAAACGTGCATCTCTTAAACTGATTGCCGACAGATTCTTCTGGCCGTCTATGATATTCGCACCTGAACTCAATAATATATTTCCTGCCAAAAAAGCAATGTCAACAGACAAACGAAAAGTGGTCATGGCTCATTTTCTACACGAGACTCCCGTTTTTCACATGCTCATATTGATATTGTGGGTTCTTTAACTACATCTCGTGGCTATTCGCATACAGATTCACCCATTGGCCTTCTGCTTATGTCATCAAGTAATTTTTATAGAGCACTGGGTTGATAATTTCGCCGTACCAACCACTATTACGACTAATAGAAGCCCTCAATTCCAGTTAGGTCTTATTGGGAACTATGCAGACTTTGGGAACTTCTCATATTAAAACGACTGCTTACCATCCCCGTGATAACGGATTGATGGAAATATTTCATTACTAATTAAAAGTCGCATTGGCTGCTCAATAAGATACAAGCAAGTGGAGCGAGTACTTACCAATAGTTCATCTTGGACTACAGTCCACTGTTAAAGAAGATATTAAAGGTACCGCCACAGAAATGGTATACGGTACTCCATTACGCTTGCCTGGAGAATCTTTCATAAATCAACAAAATTCTTCCTCGTCCTCCATGTTTCTCGTTTGAAACAACACATGACGAAATTTTCTTTTACACGTGTGCATTCTCATTTAATTTATTCGCCTTCCGATATCAGCAGCAGTGAATTTTTTTTTGTTCGTCGTGACACAATTAAAAAAATCACTTTAACCAAGTTATGACGGACCTTACAAAGTTTTGATAAGATCAAAAAAATTCTTCCCTATCGGCAAGAATAACAATAGAGATGCTATCTCTATTGAAACATGTCAACGTACCAAAGATGAACATGTACTAAATCTAATTACACAGAATTTTCATCATCTACGAATAAAAAAAGACAATTACAAAAACAAAATCTGGTAGAGGAGACATATTTCTCGAATTTGGTAGTCCAGTGAACCAGCCAAATTCGGGAACTATGTCTTTTTTTATTTTTCTTACATAGTTATGTACACTGAATTAATTATTTAATGAAAGTTTTTCTACATTTTCATGTTTTTTTTCGATATACTTATCCGGGAGGGGATATTTGCAGAACCCAGTTAAAAATAGCAGGAAAAAATCAATAGATTTAAGTAGTATGACTAAGATCTCAACTCTGCGCAAAAGTAGAATCACACGAATGTAAAATTTAAATTTCCAAATTAGTATTTATTGAGCAATCAGCGAATTTATATGGGACACTGCTCTGGTACTTTGAAAAAACAGACGACCATTTCTATGTCGTATGCTCAAAACAATGAAAACTCAGATCCAGGTAAATGATTAACAAGCTTTTCCCCTAAAAATATATTTATTAACCAATAAAACTTTAAAATTTAATAAATATATCTTTTAACTTTCTGTGATCCGAAATTTTTTTTATAAGAAGCGTAACTTAAATTAAAAAACTAGTCTTTCTCAATCTTCGACTACTCCCACCCTCACCCCAAAAACTTATTGAGTGCTAAAGTTCCTTTTGCAAAACGTGCTTTAAAAGTTTTTTCAGAAACCAATTTGCACGGTTTATAGTACGAAAACACAAAGCGACAAATAAACAAAAGACAATATATTTCGGGTTTCGCTGTCATTAGCCGTATTTGCGCTGACATTTAGCTGATTGCTCGACATCCTCTACTGCTGCTGTATTTAGCTAAGCATACATAAGAATATAGATTTCACACATACGCTTCTCTCTGTACTAACACAATTCATTTTTTCATTTGTGTTGAAAAAAATT